TTGTTTGCTGCTTAAAGATCCAGACTGAACGTCTAGCTTATCTCAAATCAAAGAGGATAATGGTACAATTAGTGTTGACTGTGTTCAGTCACTGTAAATTCAGATTGGGCCCTCAAATATCGCAGATACTGTTAGTCCTAAATGGGCTGCCCAAAAGCCAATGAGTCCTAGCAGAAACCTTATTCATGCCTTTGTATTCTGGTCATTCCTACACTGCTAAATCATCTACCACCTGTCTACCATCTACGTTCAAGATTAGTTTCCAGAATTTAGCTGATTTTGATAAAACAAAGAACCAAATGTAATATATTTTTACATGGGTTGACGAGTCAACTTTTCCAGGACTCACAACTGCATCTCACAGACTTGCAGAAGATAGAGCTTGGCTCAGTCCATGCATGGAAATGGGTTAGTTGTTATAATGGTAACCTATTTGGTTAAATGAACAGGTAGTCATTAAACTTGCAAAAGCAGCAAGAACAGCTGTTTGTTAAAGCCCACTGATGTAAATTTTTTCTACCTTGTTCCAAATCATTTTGATGCTACACTGAGTTGTAAGAGGTGAATGGTGCCTCTACCGCAACGCAAACATATTTGTATGGAGAAAATGATCTAGTGCTAAAACTCCCATGTGATTTAACAGGAGTTTTGCCTGATGGACAGTAAAGTAACTGCTGACAAATGTAGCTTTTGTTAGCTAGTTAGCTTGGCCGTACTGTCCTGGAATGCCTGGGGGACCTGGGTGCTCAGACGAGAGAGTGGCGCTGGGCCTCATAGTTTTTGTTTTGTAGTTTGAATACAGTATATGGTTCGTTGATATGAATTGGTTGAAGTTACCCGTGATGAGATAAGGTTAATCCAATCGACCTGCCGAATGTTTTTTGAAAGTGCCTGCCCTTTCCCAAATGGGTCTGGGTTTACAACCCATCTTGGTGCAATCAGGTTTTTCATGTGCCCAACTGAGGCCATTTGTCCCCATGAGATGTCGTTGAAATCTTTGTAAATGGACATGGAGGTTACCAGTTTTTTGGGTCCAAGTGACAGTATCAGCAAAAGCATGAAGAAAAGAGGTCCCGGAGCGGGTGCACTCACAAAATCCAGGAAAAATTATGCTTACTTCTAAAAAGCACAGGTGGGGTTTATTGCACTCCCAAAATAAATATTGTAGACTGTGCCAAGGATAAAAGGGAGCTGTTTCACTCCCCATTCTAATAAACTGGATTGGGGACCAACAAAAAAAAAAAGATTGGTAATTTTTGCGCAAAACTTGACAAGGGTTAAACATGAACAGTGAAGCTATTTTTCCAAAGAGGAAGCCAGAGCCAGTTGAAAGACTGCTCTGAACAGCAGATGGTAAAACACTCCCAAGACACCAGCCGAGCGTGAAAAGACCTGTCAGAACCCCACTCAAAACACACAGCACAATCAAAGAACAGGATATCCAGCCATGTTTCTTAGAACATTATGATTGAACATTCAGGACACATGTAAATAAAAATAACCCAATGTTTTAATGGCAGCTCACCAGCTTACTCACTACCCTGATTTTGGTTCGCTTTGAGACAATACAGTCAAAGTTTATTGTTCCGATTACAAAACCACGAAATTTTATTTTCACATATTAGTAGTTATATTTCATCATTGATATTAAATGAGCATATTATGAACTCCGTCAAATACTTATGGGGGAACAGGCTGATGGGGTGCATATATGCGTAATATGATCAACTAAAAACACAATAAAACCAGAATTATAATATCTATGCTAAGATATAAGCAGTCTATGTGCTGTTACTTTTTTTCTTTTAACCCCCTCTAACACGTCCCCGTCCGTCCATCTGCATCTGTTTGATTGTTCTAATTTATAAATTTTCATTTAACTCCTACCGACAAAATTTGTCACGCAGAAATATCTGCATTCTAATAACAATCAGGCCAATTTGCAAATAATAGTTGCTACCATGTCCGTTTAGCTGCACAAAGTTACTATTACATATTAAGATATTATCACGATAATTTACTTTAAAATGTAATGATTTATTATTGCAATCTTTGATGGTAGACCTTACGCGCATATTTGCTATTGTATTGTGACTGTACTGTATTGTCATTAGATCGAATAGAGCTTTACTGATCCCACAAATGGGGGCAATTCCCTTGCTACAACAGCTTACAGATTAAAGAAACGGAGACTCAGAACTGCCTTTTTTATTTTTCATGTGGCCTTAATTCTCTGATTATAGCTTGTCCCAGACCCTGGAGGTCCAGTCGCACTTACTGATTATAAGTCTTGTGGACCCCCCCTTAACCCTTCTGCTAAAGAAACAACAGTCACTTTTTGACCCATCCAGGAATCTCTGCATGTCCTTATCTTTCTCTGCACCCTGGCTCCCTGTAAAATTTAGAATAGAATTTTAAATCCTGCCCTCTCAGCCTACAAGCTCTTCATGGTCAAGGCCCCCTGTCATTCTTAAAAGAGCTCATACGTACCCTTTACCCCATCCAAGAACACTGGTGTTCTCCTTGAATGCTGGGCTACTTGTGGTTCCTATAGTCTCTAAACAGTAGAAAGCGAAGCCAGAGCCCTTCAGTTACCAGCTCCTCTCCTGTGGAACTGCAGCTTCCCAAGTCGTGTTCGGGAGGCAGACACCCTCTATCCCACATTTTAAGAGTAAGGCTTAGACGTTCCTCCCTTTGATAAGCTTATATGTTAGGGGCTGGATCAGGTGAGTGCCTGAACCACTCTCTTAGTTATGCTGCTATACGGCCTAGACCTATTCGGGGAATTTCCCATGACTGGCACTGGAGCTCCGCTCCCCTCTTCTCCTCTCCTCCTTATCTGGCACCCTCATTCATGCCGCATTAATTGCATGTTTACTAACTTCATTCTTCCCCGGGAGTTGCTTGTGGCTTTTCTCATCTCGCAAGGTTCTCCCATGGATCCTGGTGGAGGCCTTCCCTGCCATCGGTCGCTGGCTTGAACTGCCATTGCTAAAAATCACTGTTATTATCTTTTATTATTATGTATTAATATTATAATCTACTACCAGTTACTATTATTACTAGTAATGCACCCTCGCTAATTGCTACCCCCCATAATGTGTTGCCCGTCGTTGTCATCATCTTCTTCAATGTTCATCATAGTCACTACTATTAGTGTAGCTTTGTCTGCTACCCTGTTTGTTGGCTGTGCACCTTGATTGTATCCCTGTCTCTGCTCCATTCTGTCATCTCCTCCTCATCCTCTCTCGTTCTTCTCTCCGTTCACCCGCCCAACCCTGGTCAAGGGCAGAATGCAGCACCCACCCTTAGAGGCCCGAAAGGTCTGTCCTATGGCTTTCTGCCTGTTAAAAGGCAGTTTCTCCCTCTGCCCCGTCGTCAAGGTCTTGCTCGATAAGTGGTACTGTTCTGGGTCTCTGTACAATGTTACACAAGCGAGTTCGGTCTAGACTGCTCTATTTTGAAAAGTGTCCTGAGATAAAACTTCTGTTATGAATTTGTGCTATACAAATAAAATTGAATTGAATTGAATTAAACAGCTTCACTGCTGCAGTCCCTCAAACCAATATAAAGTCACAGCTTCTTTTGTTCATGCCCAAGTGACACATAATTATTTAAATATAGTTACATCAATATATACCTTGAACTGATGCAAAGATGTCCATGTCATGCCCCTTTCATTTTGTTGTTCAGCGACATAAAAACAAACATAAAAACCCATAGCAACTCAGATACACAGACCGTATCATAAGACGTCAGATTTGATGCTCATGGATAAATGTTATACTGAGGTGTGTGTGTATAATGTGTGTGTTGCAAGAGCATGTGAGGCCAGTAACCACAGCTTTTCTTTGCCAAACAAACTACTAGCTCGGTGGTCTCTCCAAAAGTCAGTAGTTTGTGTTTCTCTCTCGGTGTGTGTGTGTGTAAGAGTTAAAAATTCATCATGGCTATCTGTTTGTTTAACAGTCAAGTGTTTGATCGTGTGTCTGCCCTGACACACACACACAAACACACACACACACACACACACACACACAGTTTACACAGGCTGTGTAACCACAGCATGCTATGTTGGACAACACAAACCGCTGATGTCATTCACCGCTGATGTTTACAGCAGCAAACAGCTTCAGACATGAACAAAAAAATGTCTTACAACAGCAAACAGTTGGTGACTCTTGAATACAAGCTGCCAGTCTGAAAGTGAGTGTGGAGGCTGGAAATAGTTCTTCACTCTTCTTCTCTCTGGATTTCTAAGAAATTTGTGCAGATCGATATGGTCCCCTGTGAAGCTGTGCAGATGTCTTTGATGTGATCGTTCCTATAGCACCACCATCACGCCAAAATGTTTTACACACCATCTACATCAAAATCCACTGACAGAAAGCAAACAACTCTTTCTTTTAATGATGCTGTAGCCTTTTCTCTAAAGACCTAAAGGTCCAGTGTGTAACACTGAGAAGGATCTGTTGGCAGAAACTGAATATAATATTCATAGGTATGTTTTCATTTGGCACACTCCATGTTGAACCACCATGTTTCTAGAACAGACAAACCAAACACTGGCTGTAGATAGGGCTTTTTGCGTTTTTGCAGGCACTGTAAACACAAATAAATACTAAACAAAAACACAAGATTCTTATTGTCAGATGATTATACACTAATGAAAACATATATGAATAGTAACATTCACACGCATACAGATCTGAGGAGTCCCGTTTCTTTTCGATTAAGTGCCCACTTTCTGTCCCAGGCAGCTCCTGAATATGAGTTGGAAAGGGGATCATGCCTTTTTTGGCTGAGTTGATATTGGTTTTACTGTTATTTAGACTTTGCTGTAAACATTTTAAAGATGATGAAATTAATCTTTAGAGTCAGTGTTTGGTTTATCCATTCTGGGCTTTTGTAGAAACATGAACATGGAACTAGGAAACACAACGATTTTTATTTTCAGGTGATTATATACAAAGGTGTTCCATTTCTGCAGAACAGATCCTCCTAAATGTTAAACACTGGACCTTTTATCGGCCACAAAAAATATAATTTATCAATTGTCTCTACAGCCAGTAAAACATATAGCCATCTATACTGGATGGTGATTCAGAGATCTGGAACATAAAATTATAAGAGTCATTATTATTAGGATTATTTTCCAGATGCATCATCAGGTGTTCTTCTGTAGCAAAGTGTGGTTGCCGTCTTTACATCCAAAAGTAAACAGGACAAATAGCTAATACTAGCTAATTTAGCTGACTTTTAATGGCACCAATTTTCCAAAATGTAAACAAATATAAGCTAAAAGTTGTCCATATGTCCTGATTGCATCCCCCAAAGCATTATGGGAACTATTGCTAAATTCTTCTTAGAATTAGGTGAATGTTAGGTGTAGTTTTGTTAAACTGGACCCTGCACATCCACACGCAGACTTTCACAAATACTCACACATGTACCTCCGCACACACGTATAGATACCCACATACTCATACACACACACACACACACACACATATGCCATGGCAGTGATGTCAGTTTTAATCACATTTCAATTTTAACTGCCTATTGATTCAAACCTTTTTTTGTGTTGCAGAATCTGAGTGTTAAACCAGCTGTTCAGTCACACACACACACACACACACACACACACAAAAAGACAGACAGAAAACATCTGCAACTCCTTACAGAAATAGAAAAAATGTTTAATACTTACGGCAATTTATAGAGAGCAAGGTGCAGTTTGAGAAACACCCAGAGACAATGGAGAATAACCGAGATTTGAGATAGATGATTAGATTAGGTCAGATCAGATCAGATTAGATTAGATACAATTAGATTAGAAGTTTGAAAAATCCCCAAGTGTAAATTGAGTCATTGAAGCGCCAAAGGAATTCTAGCACTTACTTGGATGAGGGTAACAGTAATAGTTCACATAAAAAAGCACATTGAGAGAGAAGAACTTGCATCGAAGAAAAAAAAGCAACAAAGATGAGAACAGGCTGGATGGAAAACTGGCAGGAGCCTTACTACACTCTAAAAGGTAACACAAACTACACTACATATCCCCAAATTGTACTGAAGCATTTAACGGAAAAGCAAATCAAAAAGTTGCTGACAGCTGATCCAGCTGTGCCACCATCATCACAGACTGACAATGTTTCAGATACAAATGAGGAATGTCTCGTTTCACTAAATCATGTTTCCTCTCATCTTTTCCATGCGTCTCATCCTTATGTTAAGTTAGAGGGACAAGAGATGGGCAATAAAGTGAAAACACAACGGAAAGAAAACCGAAGAAACACGCTTTTCACTGCTGAAGGCTGAAATTCTTCTCAAACACAGGTGTAACTTACATTAACAATGGCTGCATCTCAGTGTTAAGGCTAGTATTTTTCATACCTTTCTCACTATAGCTGCATATTTTTTACTAATTAGCTGATCTATAGTACATGGGGTGTCTTCACCTTGCTACTTGGCTGATTGTTCAACTTCTATTTTCACAGCTGTTGTCAGAAAGCCTAGTTTTTATGTTCAGTTCTGGACATTTTGGTGTCCTTGGCTACAATGGCCAAATGTCCTGGTTGTCCGGGATTGTACCAGTTCAAGCTCCTGAGGTTTGACAAACATCTGTAAAACACCAAAATGTCCAGATTTTCACTGAAATTAAAATAATAATTATAATATTAAAGGCACGCCAGGTGCCGGCATAACACATGAAAATTTCACGTAAATCAGATCAAAATCGCCACGCAGCGCTTACTTCCTAAAGCCTTCAGACGATTTGTGCTCAGGCCCTAATTAAAACTGCGAGCAGTGATAATCGGGCCTTGCACTCCGTGCATGTCAGGGTGTGCAGCCGTCGGGTCACGTACTAGTACATCATGACAACACAAAGCTACAAAAATTTCACAGAAATCACATCACAATAGCCACACAAGACGTACTTCCTGTTGCCAGTAGTTGGCTCTATGAAAGCGACTGAATATTGGCACTTAGATGTGTTTCGGACAGGGCTCTTAACAAACTTGTGAAGTTTGGCTCCAAATGGAGAATCTGTACTGCAGTTAGGTTTAGCGGTAGGCGTAGGATTAGGGTTTAAGACTGATTTTTGAAGGCACGCCACGGATAAACTGTTTGATTGAATGTAAAGATTTAAAAAACGTAACATCCTAAACTTTTCTGGATTGTACTCACTAATTTTGAAGTCGTTCTGATCAATTCCCTAAGAGGAGTTTGTTCAAATTAAACCCGAAAAATCACCGAAAACCACCACGAAAGTCAAAATGGCCTAATTTGAAGGCATGACTTGTACACACCCTTCAATGTACAGTCACAAATAGCACAACGTTTGATTAGCAATGTTTTTTGAGTTTACTGACCAATTTTGAAGTAGTTCCAATAAATTTCCTAGGAGGAGTTTATTCAAGTACAATGCGAAAAAATGCAGAAAATCTAATCTACAGACACTTACTTGTTTCATAAACAAAAAACTTGATATGTGCTTGTATTGTGCTTTTAATCATGTGGACCACATTACACATTACATTTGCATCCCACACATCAATCTTAAATTATATAACCTCTTGTGAGCGTCACCATGAAGGAGTAGAGATACACATATATTTATGTAAGGAAGACATAAGGGATCCACAGTGCTGGCTATGTTTTCAGTTGAACTACACATTTTTAGACTTAGACTGCCTCTTGAACCTCTCAACTGTGACAATCTCACTTCATTATGCATTCTGTCCTCATTGACCCACTGTCACCCTCAATTCACTCCCATTCACGGCTCCCCCCAACCTCCCATTCAGACCCACACAGCCCCAACTGGTGAGGTCTGCGGGTCAGTCTTTGGAGGGTCCAACACCAACTGGTTAACCTTCAGATGTCAATGCACTCTGAATGGGCCTTCACATACTTTGAGTTCAAAGAGCATCAAGAGTCAAAAAGCCCTGCAGTAACACTG